GGTCTCCATTGAAAGCGGCTTCTTCGTGCTAACCAGGAAGTGATCTCTCCAGACAATGGAATGGCTCTTCTTTTCTTATCTCTGTGACTACAATTTCCTGGGCGGCATGGACACCATTAGGCAGTGGAATGTGCATGAGTATTCTGTTTCTCCCCCCTCTGCTCCGCACAGTCCTGGGCACTGGCAACCCACACTATGCCACTGCAAGCAAAAAGACATTAACAGTGGCAGATTGCATGTGTTTGCATACAGCCAGTCCTGGGTTCAATCCCTGGCACCTCCATGTAAGACAGGGAAACACCTTTGTCTGAAATGCTAGTTTCTGCCAGTGTAGACCATACTGAGCTAGCAATGATGCTGTCAGGATGGGACTTTGGGGCATAAATACACTTTGAGGTGCAGTGGAGCTGGAGCTGGCCAGAGGCTGGCTCTGCTTCCATGGACCTTTGTGACAGGCCTCCACAGGTCAATATGATAGCAGGTGATTAAAAGTTCAAGCCGTGGGAGCAGGAACAGCTTTATCTCAGATCTTAGTGCTGTGGTCCCACAGCACTAAGATCAGAGATAAACCTCTGCCTTCTGGTTCCAAAGTCATGAAAAGCAGAAAACAGGCTGATCCACCCATCTCCAGATGAACTAGAATAAAGTCCCTTGCCAACTTTTGACCATATAAAGTTTAGACTACTTAGTACAACCACAGACAGTCCCTTGCGCAGAAATGAAGCAACCAAAGGCCTGTAAAACCAATTGCATGAGCTTAAGGTGGCCCCCAGTTAGGAGCAGGAGCAGTACAATGGTAGTGTAGGTATTTGACTGGCAATCCTTGCAAGATGCACTCAGCAGAGTCTGCTCAGCCTCCCTCCAAGAAGAACATGTCAGCAACTATTATTTTATTTCATTTTTTCCTATCCCAGTTGGTTCTTAATCCAAAAAGCCCTCCGGAGGCAACAGTTATTTGGGGATTTTAGCATCAGGTGTGTCAGCTTGGTCATTATTCCAATTAAAGTGCAGTTCTAACCTGCTAAAGGATTATCGTTATATTTTTGAGTGTGTGGCGGGGGCTGATCCTGGTGGTGAGGGCAGGTCCTCTGGGTGTGTCAGAGCCATTGACGTTGCAAACGCAAAATGCTAAGTAGCTTTTGCTCTTTGCTCCTGCCAGTTTTCGCAAAGCTGACATGCCAGGTGGGCAGTTTGGGTTGTCCTCTGCACAGTGTGAAGGACAGCCTTGTCGGCATGATTGCGTTCGGATGTCTTGGGCGAGATGGAGCTGTGCAGCCTTTAAGTTGGGGGTGTAGTCCAAATGCTGTCGGACTACAATTCTCATAATCACCTGGCCATTGGCTGTGCTGGCTGAGACTGATGGGAGTTGGAGTCCAACAACATCAGGAGGGCTGGCATCAGGGATGGGTGTAGCGGGACCCCTGCCAAAGTCCCGGTGGCTCAGAAGGGCCCATTGCTAAACTGACCCTGCTCAGAATTCCTACAGCCCTCCCTGCTGCGCCTTGTCACATCAGTTGTGTCAGGCACTGCAATTTCAGTAATCTAATGTGGCAAGGGCCAGCTGCAGATCAGAGTCAAACGCTATCTTTTAGTGTTGTTAGCCGCCCTGAGCCCGGCTTCGGCTGGGGAGGGCGGGATATAAATAAAAAATTTTATTATTATTATTATTATTATTATTATTATTATTATTATCATCATTATCTTGGCTCCCATTCAAAGGCACCACTGGCAGCACCAAACAGCTTCTGCCCACCTGGTGGCGGGGCTTATGATGATGGCAGCATGCAGCAGTGCCAAGGGATGGTGCAGATTAGTGCCAGGTAGGGTCTGTGGGTGGCACCATGTTGAGGGGTCCCTGGTAGTTTGATCTAGGGGGAGCAGTTCCAAATCTGCTTTAAAATCAGCTTCACAGAGGTCTACGACAGCAGCGTCAAGTTGGGACTCACAAGTATGAATGCTGGGCCACCAGTCGTATTGCTCCAGAGGCAATATGCAAAAGCTTTTCAATGGAGCAAGTTCACACTTTCAGCTTTGAGTCAGCAAGCCCGCAGGAATCCAGTGGAGAGGCATAATAAATGAAATGACTTGGATTTGTAATTTGGGCAGATTTGGAATCCAGCATCACTGCAGGGCATTGTACCACAAAGAGGAACCCATCAATGCCGTAAACAGACAGACGATGTCACTGCGACATCCACACCCACTCCCAGTCAAGGGAGAAGCAGCCACATCATCAGTTTTGCATAAATGCAGAGCTGGCTGAATTTTGCAAGCTATCTTCTCTCTGATCTCCCTGCCTTGAAATAAATTGGAAAGGCACATTTGATCGGAGCCGTGCAGTTCTCATGACTAGCCCTATTAGAAACCCCCCTCCCCAGTTGCCATTAGCTCCCATCCCCAAGGAAAAATATTTCCCCCATTTCATACTGACATTGTAGCCCCAGACACCCCTCCCTTGAAACAAGTACAGTAGCAGCTTCAGAGGGCAGATTTCAGATGGGGAAATGATGGAGGGGCAAAGATCCCCAGTACACCCCAATACACCAGTACACCAGTCCTAGTCGAACACAGTTCTCCCCTCCCACTGCAAGAGCCTTTAAGCGATGAAAAAAAGAAGTTCTGGTCATGGACCTCTCCAAAGTCTACTTTGACTCTAAAGGTGAGTCCATGCTTGTACATTCTCCATTGCACAATTGTAGTATTGTACGTTGATGATTTGCACATGTGGAACTGCCTGCACACCTGAAACACCACAGGCAGCACTTGGGTATCGCATGCAGTGCTTCACCTCTCCTTGGATGCAATGCATTTCTACAGAGGCAGGAGACACATTGAGCCATGAGTCACTGCATGGCAATTGTGTGTGTGTGTGTGTGTGTGTGTGTGTGTGTGTGTGAATGGACTCAACATCAGGAATGACCTTGAACCAAGCCTTCTGCAGCCCAGAGGTGTTTCTGTGGGGTACAGAAGGATGGTAAGACAGTCTCACCTCTCTGCATTTAGGTTGTTTTAGTCTCTGGACTAACTGGTCTTACGGGGATTCCCCTCTCTAGGTAGCAACATGTCTTACTTCAACATGTGGTAAATCACCTCCACGGTGTCCAGGGGTCCTGCTGCTCATTCCTCCACTGTGGGAGACAACATCCCTCTGTGCTGCATACCAGTTGCTAGGAATCACAGGTGAGGAGAGTACTGCTGCACAACACATTCTGCTTTCTAGACCACAGAGCCTAGGGCTTGCCGATCAGAAGGTTGGCGGTTTGAATCCCCATGACGGGGTGAGCTCCCGTTGTTCGGTCCCAGCTCCTGCCCACCTAGCAGTTCGAAAGCACATCAAAGTGCAAGTAGATAAATAAGTACCACTCTGGCGGGAAGGTAAACTGCTTTTCCGTGTGCTGCTCTGGTTCACCAGAAGCGGTTTAGTCATGCTGGCCACATGACCCGGAAGCTGTACGCCAGCTCCCTCGGCCAGTAAAGCGAGATAAGCGCCACAACCCCAGAGTCGTCTGCGACTGGATCTAATGGTCAGGGGTCCCTTTACCTAACTGGGCTCTTATGCCCTCATTCTGCACTTCTGTCCATTCCCTGGTGGCCTCCCTGTCACTCGGAATCAACTGCTTATTAGAACCCCCATTTTATTACCATGATGAGAATATCTGGCTGATCTATCCGGCTCTCTCCATCGCTGGCCTCTCAGGGCACCTGTCCAACTGCTAGCCTTACATTTCCAAGTTGAAAAACATACACAAGTCCCACGTATTGAAGGATAACTTGGACCTTCCTCGTGTGGTGCTCAATCTTCCTTTCCTGGAGCCAGAGAGTAATAAGTGCATTAACTATTCTGCGGGGACCGATGTAACTGTAAGTCATGCGCTTTTGTCGAGAGGCTGGGCCAGGAGGAAACTCTTGAGCTTGAGAAAGAGGGGTCTGCGGCAGATCTCAAGTGTGCAACTCTCGCTGTTTACATGCAGGCTCCTTCCAAACCTGGCAGGTGACTCCACTGACTGGTCCCATGTTGAGCTCCTCTTGTTGTGGAACTCGTTGCTACGTACAGAGGAGCTCCAATGGCAGAAGCAGAGCCTCACGGGAAATGAAGTCACTTGGTGTGCCGTGCCAGGATTGGAACAGCTAGGGAAAGAAAGCTGGGTTTTCTGAGTCAGAAATATTCGTCGGTGGGTCTTAACAGCAGCAGGGTGGAGGGGAAAGCTGGGAGTACCAGCGGAGGCATAGGGAACGCCATGACTTCGAGGAAAACACCCTCCTGAGGGAGCATAGGGTGCTTCATGTTTATTGAGCATTCATATTGATTTGCTTAGAGGAAGGCTAGATAATGTCTTTTTGATAAGCAGGCATTCTGGTGGGCCTACATTTTTGAGGCCCTGAAGGTTGAACTGTTACGGAAGCCCCTTCGCAACCAGCAACAAGGGCTGAGTAACTGCTGTCATCTTCTCCAATGGAGTTGTCCTACGACAGATCACCAAACCTGTGCAACATCTGTGCTACTGACTCTCAGACTTTGAGATTGTTGAAACACACACAAACACACACACACACACACACATTTGGTCTGCTAGACCCCAAACTTTTAAGCAACATGAACTAAAGTTGCTTCTGGGGCCCCTCTGGGATTAAGGGCCCTGAGGCTTAAGCTTCAATAGTTTCATAGTAGATCTGCCCCTGTTTGTGGGGAGTTTAGACAACCTTGCAAGTGGTATCCCACACTTTCTGATACATTCCCCCCCCCATTACTTTCCTTATTGTAACAAAGTCCTATCTTTTGGGATAGTGGGTTTGACCTCCTAATCTACTGCACTTGCACAAGCCTGAATTTGCCCTTCTGTGATTGAATCCCACTCCAAAATAGGGACAGTTCGGAAGCACCAATAGGAACATCAGATGGTGCCTTATACTGAGCCAGGCGATTGGTCCTCTTAGCTCAGTATTGTCTGCAGTGACTGGCAGAGGCTGTTCAGGATTCCAGGCAGGATTCCAGCCCTGTTTGGAGATGCCAGGGGTTGAACCTGGGTCCTTCTGCATGCAGAGCACATGCTCTGCTCCTGAGCTGCGCCCCTTTCCCAAGGAAGCAAACTAACTCTGTGATACATTCCTCTCTCCCTCTTGACTCAAAATGGCAGCACAGCATGCCGAAGTGCTACCAGCCGATGACGCAGCTGGGAGCTGCATCTATTCTGGATGAGAATTAGAGCCAAACTAAATGTGATGCTATTTACTCAAGTTAGCAATTGTGCAGAGATTTTTTTTAAGTGAATAGCAAGAATGGGAAGCCAGATCTAGACTGGGGCCCTGGCAGATGGATCAGGGGACTTAATCATTCTCAGCCAGTGACAGCTGCTGCCAGGGAGCCAGTGATAGTAAAGGACATTAGAGGGACAAATATTCTGAGAGTTCCAGGGGCCATATGGAGAGGCTTAGAGGGCCACATTACACATCCCCAACCTGTGGCTTTAATACATTGACGGACTGCAACTTCCATCGCCTGCAGCAAACATAGCCAATTGTCAGGGAAGATGGCAGATGGGAGTCCAAAAACACAGGGTTCATCCATAGGTACATTTTGCCCTTGCTTTTCTGGTCTGTGTCTGAGTTCTTTTTTTCTTTTTCTCTTCCCTGCCACTTTCCCCAAGAAAACCTGATCTTTAATACTGAATCAGAACAGATGGTAATTAGGGTGTTCTGCGGATTGCTGTTTGTTCCAATTCCGCGGTAAAGAGTGGGTTTTTGCGGGGGAAGTGGTAGAGCTATAGAAAAAAAAAGCACTTGTACACAGAGCTTTAAAGCACAAACTTGTGCCTAGAAACATGGCACAAAAGTAAGTCTGGATAAGCCCACAGGAAGGGGAACCGTATTGGGGGTGGCTGTTCTAATGTATTACAATGTGGGGCTTGGGCAATGAGAAAGGAGCTTACAGTAACAAAGCAACATCTGCATTTTGATCTGTGAAATTCTCGATGTCGTTCTGCAGCCGTTACCCTGAAGCAACTTCCTCCACCACTTTGCCTGCAAAACCCATTTAGCTGCTGGTCTCTCGCTAGGTTCAAACATGTCCCTGTCTCTTTGCTCAGGCACTGCAGCGGCCTCTAGTGATGAAAGTCAGCAGACAGCGAAGAGCGTGCTTGATTGCTTGTTAAGTGTTTATACCCAACCTTTCCTCCTATAGTACAAAGCAGCTTACAAAATATTAAAGCACAACACAACAAAAACAGCTGTGTAAAAAGGAAAAGAAACAATGGAAGCCAGCAATGAAACAGTTTGAAACCAACTGTAGCCAAAGGCATCATAACACACAATAAAAGCCAGCATAATGTAATGTAATGAAATGAGGCAGAATGATAGAATAATAGAACTGTATTGTTGGAAGGGATCCTATGGGCTATGTAGTTCCAGACCCCTGCAATGCAGAAATCTAACCCCACCAAAGCATGCAAGTCTCTTGAGCCACTGACTTCAGAGTAGCCACAATGAGGCTTATGGAATTACTTAGAGGGAAGCAGTTGGAGAACTGCAGAATGAAACTAAAGCCCCACTGGTGTTCCAGCTTCAAACAGGGCAAAGTCAATGACAGCAAATATCAACAGTTTTACAGCCCAGATGTCTTTTTATAAGCTGGGAGCTGTGTTGTTTTTTTCCTTAAAAAAAACTTAATTGGTAGTAAAACAAGCAGACGCTAATTATAACTCTCTGGGGTTCTTTTCCATTTAAAGCAGCACCTTTGCGAATGTCGTCATTTTCCTTCAAACAACAACAACAAAAATGCAACACTCGGCTGAGCTTCGCAGAACGTCACAGCAAGCTCTTTCTGAGCCTGTGCTCTGGGCAATGGTGTTTTCTCTCCATCTGAATGGCCGGAATTAGACCCATATAAACCCCAGCTGCATAATTATAGCAGCTTACAAAAGTATGGTGCTGCCTCAAAGCTACTGTGCATTGATTCAGAAGTAAGAAAACGATATGAGCATTTTTAGAACGCAGGAGCTATGTATGGCGGATCCAACCAAAGGTTTATCTTGTCCAGCCTTCCCCCAACCTGACACACTTTAGTGTTGTTGAACTACAACTCCCATCAAATCCAGGCAGCACAGCCTATGGTCAGATATAAAGGGAGTTGTAGCATAAAGCAGTTGGAGAGCATTAAGGTGGGAAAGGCTGATCTCACCCAGAATGGCCTTTCCAGACTGGAGGGTTGTTGTTAGTATTTGTGGCTATATTTTGCAACATGTAATGGATGCAATAATAGTTCATGGGTTTGGGATTTCTATTGCACCATCCCAACATCATTCTGCTTTGTTGCTTCTGCTTTGTTGCTCAGTCTAGGTGGCACTGTGGGTTAAACCACAGAGCCTAGGACTTGCCAGTCAGAAGGTCGGCAGTTCAAATTCCCACGACGAGGTGAGCTCCCATTGTTCGGTCCCTGCTCCTGCCAACCTAGCAGTTCGAAAGCACATCAAAGTGCAAGTAGATAAATAGGTACTGCTCCAGCGGGAAGGTAAATGGCGTTTCCGTGTGCTGCTCTGGTTCGCCAGAAGCGGCTTAGTCATGCTGGCCACACGACCCGGAAGCTGTACGCCGGCTCCCTCGGCCAATAAAGCAAGATGAGCGCCGCAACCCCAGAGTCGGCCACGACGGGACATAATGGTCAGGGGTCCCTTTACCTAGGAGTCGCAGAGGGCAAGGAGTTAGCTCTCAAGAAGGGAAGATTGGACGATTTCCCAATACACAGGGCCTCAGGTTTCTGTGGTGCTTCCCCGATGACTATTCTACTCTGGGCACTATTGCACTAGAGCTCAACAAAAGCAGGGCAAAACATCAAGAAGATGGCATTTGTGGTGCAAAAAGTTACAGGATTTCATCAGGAAGCTACAGGGCATGCACTGATGGGAAACGAAGGAGCAAGTCTGTCCCTGAAAAATATTCAGGTGCAAACAGTATTGAAAGCCACATCGAATCGTGTATAACCAACCCCATACTGGGATGAGTACAAAAGCATCATGGATGCATCATGAAAAAGGACTAAAGCACTAACATTTATTTATTGGTGTGTGTTTTCCTTTCCTTTTTCCTTTTTGTAAATCTACCAAAGAATAAAATAAAATAAAATTGGGATTAAAGGGTTTCCTCAGAACGGCGGAGGGTGTGTGTGCTATGTCCCATTGGTGTAGTGACAGTGGTACTCGCCATTCTTCTGAAAAGAAATGTTCAGGGGTGTGTTTCGAGGGATCAAGGAAAGTCAATTTTGGGGGAGTGAGAAATGTCCCTGTTTTCATCTGAGGAATGTTGGAGGGTCTGGTCATGGCCATCAGCCCTTGATAAGGCTATGGAATTGTCTCATCTCACCTGTCTTACTTTGCAGAGTACAGCCCTCTATTTGAAGGGCTTTCTGGTCCGAGTCAAGTTTATAAATAAATATGAAAGGGGGCCTTGAAGTTGCCTGTAAAGAACGCCTGGACAGCAGACAGAGCAGGCGCACGTGTTTCCTGGTCACATTCCTCTTGACGATGCTGAAACTTATTTCTACCTTGATACACATAAATTAGCATCTGCCAGACATCATACCTGCTTTGAATTTATTGTTATTCATGCTTTTATACTGTATTTTATGCTGTTTTTTGTTGTATCACAATTAAGTGTTTTAAATTTGTTGTTAGCCGCCCTGAGCCCAGTTTTCTGAACCAGGAAGGGTGGGGTATAAATAAAAATTTATTATTATTATTAATATTATCCTTTTTCCTAGTGATGAATTTTCTCTTATTTTCCTTGCAGTGGGGAAATGTCCATCTGAACACCAGTAGGGGTGGGCTATATGGGGGTGTACACATAAGAACCCCCCAACCAACATCTGGATAAGGGGTTGAGAATCTTTGGCCCATTAGCCTTGAGAGTATTGGCCAGGCTGATCAGGGTTGATGGGAGGGGTAGTCCAGTAACATCTGGAGGGCCCAAGGTTCCCCAATGCTGATGAAGACTAAGTCTGGGTAAAACAAGGCCTCCAGATGTTGGTTTATGACTCCCCTTGCCCCTGACCATTGGCTGAGCTGGCTGGGGGTGATGGGAGTTGGAGTCCGACCACATCTGGAAGGCTGCAGACACACCCCTCAAATGAATATCCCCATGTTCCATTAAAATAGGATGTCCTGGCTGCTCTTTGGCAATTTTGGGTCTCAGTTCTGGAACTTGTAACTTTCCAGGAGTCGCAGAGGGCGAGGAGTTAGCTCTCAAGAAGGGAAGGTTGGATGATTTCCCAATACGCAGGGCCTCAGGTTTCTTTGGCAAGCTGGAGGGGAAAGAGAAATATTGTGCGCCCCCACCCCCCGCCGCCTCAAGTGCCTTGTTTGAGCCTGTACTAAGAGACTTGGCAACCTGAAGTGATCTGCTGTCGCCGTAGCAACAAATGACTAAATAATGACAATTAGCTGAAATAGCACAGGGAAACAAGCCAAGGCAAACAACTCGAAATTACCTGCAATTCCTCACCCCCAGCGCTCGCACATCAGCCCCCCTCCACCACACAGCCAATCTTTTAATTAAAATTAATTGCTTATTACCGTACCTCCTCCCATCCTGCAGAAAATAATAAAATTACATGAGCAAAGAGCATGAGAGTACCTGTCAGGAATCCCATGCAGATGAAGCAACAGCCAAACTAAACAGCATCCCTTGTGTCTTACGACGTGGCCCAATTTGCCTTTCACCTTGTCGCGCCTCAGGCGGGGGGGGGGGGAGAGCTGCAATTGCCTATCCCGCAGGCATCGTGAGACAGGTGGTGCATCGTGGAGGGCGGGGGGAGGGGGGAGAGAGCGAAACTCGTGCTTCCTGCTGTGCTTAGCTAGTTTTATAATCTGGTTTGCTGGGTTTACGGTAAGCTCTGCCAGCTTCTCCTTTGACCCAGACGTAAGTGCTGGAGACAAGAAAGCTGAGCGGCTTGTTCCCTGCTGAGCATATGCTCCAGCGCTATAATCCCGCCTTGCAAAACTGGGTGCTCTCCAGACATTAGGGACTACAACTCCCATCAGCGCCAAGCCAGGGATGATGGGAATTGGAATTCCAAGCG